GTTTCCCGCTCCCTCAACCTCCTAGCGATTACGGAAACCTGGATCCAGGCCACTGACTCTACCTCCCCTTCTGCACTCTCCTATGGAGGTCTCACCTGGACCCACTCACCCAGACCTGACGGTCGTAAAGGTGGTGGGGTTGGTCTGCTCCTGTCACCGCAGAGCACCTTCCGAGTCCTCCCAAACCCCCCCCTCTCTATCCTTCTCCTCCTCCTTCGAGGCCCACTGCATCCGACTATTCTCCCCAAACCCCCCTGAAGATTGCTGTGATATACCGGCCTCCTGGATCCATACCCCGCTTCCTGTATGACTTTTTCTCCTCCTGGCTACCCTTCTTCCTCTCCTCTGAGTTACCCACCATCATCCTTGGGGATTTCAACATCCCTGTCAACCTCGACAACCCGGCCACATCCCATCTCCTCCACTTAACCTCCTCCTTTGCACTTGCACAGTGCATACAATCCACCACCCACTCCAACGGTAATATCCTTGATCTTGTCTTCTCCAACCCTGCGCTGCGCTCCCCACAACCTCACTAACACCCCCCTTCCCTCTCTCTGACCACAACATGATCACCTTCCCTATCTCCTCGTCCTCCAACACCTACCCCCTCCAAATGTCACAACTACTACCAGCCGTAACCTCCGCAACCTTAACCCTGCCCCCCCTCCACTCTGCAGCTGATCAACTCCATGACAGCATCCTCCCCCTGTCCTGCCACGACTTGGCTATGACTGCCTATAACAACGCGCTGTCAACAGCCCTTGACTCACTAGCACCTTTAACCGCACGCAACATCAGACCCCGACCGCTCCTGCCCTGGCAGACTGATCACACCAAAACCCTCAAACGACACACGGTCGTGCCCTGGAGTGACTATGGCGCAAAACAAAATCCCAACAAGCCTTCACCCGCTACAAATCTGCCTTCCACACCTACACCTCCTCCCTCCACGCAGCCAAACAAGCCTACTTCCTGACCCTCATCAAGGCCCTCTCCTCCAATCCTCGCCGACTTCTCTTCTCCACCTTTAACTCTCTACTCTCGCCACCCCCACCTCCACCTCCACCCAGCACCTCACTCACTGCCCTTGAGATTGCCAATCACTTCAAAAACAAGATTGACACAATTCGCAAGGACATCTCCGCAACTCACACGCCCTCTCAACCCGTCCCCTCTCACACAGCTACCCCCTCATCCCCCCCCCTTGACATAACCCGCTGGGACTTCGTCGCTGCTCAAATTCCCTCCAACCCGTTCCCCTCTCACTCAGCTACCCCCTCATCACCCCTCTCCCACGGCCCCCACCACTGCTCTGACCTCCACTTCCACCCCACCCTACATTCCTCATACTGAAGTTCCCCCAACACTTCACACCTTTGACCTTACTACCATCGAAGAAGTCTCCAAGATCCTCTCTGATGCCCGCGCCTCACCACCTGTCCCCTCGACCCTATCCCCTCACAATTCCTACGACCTTCCTCCCCCTCCATCCTACGCTCCCTCACCCACATCTTCAATCTCTCCCTCTCCTTCGGCACTTGCCCCTCCCCTCTGAAACATGCACACATCACCCCCATACTTAAAAAGCCCTCCCTGGACCCCAATGACCCGAACAACCTCAGACCCATCTCTCTGCTCCCATTTACTACTATAAACTCCTCGAGCACCTAGTCTACACCCGCCTATGCTCTCACCTCAACGACAACAACCTCCTCGATCCCCTACAGTCCGGCTTCCGTCCCCTACACTCCACCGAAACTGCCCTACACTCCACCGAAACTGCCTTACTCAAACTCTCCAATGACCTGCTAACCGCCAAAGCTAATGGCACTATTCAGTGCTCCTACTCCTTGACCTCTCTGCAGCCTTCAACACAGTCGACCACCCCCCTCCTCCTCAAAAAACTAAACCCCCTCGGCCTCAGAGATTCTGCTCTCTCCTGTCTCTCATCCTACCTATCACAACGCTCTTTCAGCGTTACCTATAATGCTACCACCTCCCCCTCACTCCCCCTCTCTGTTGGGGTCCCTCAAGGCTCTGTCCTCGGGCCCCTTCTCTTCTCCATCTACACCTCCTCCCTTGGCCAACTCATACACTCTCACGGCTTCAACTACCACCTCTATGCCGACGACACACAAATCTATCTCTCAACCCCCCCACCTCACCCCCTCGGTCTCCCTGCCCGAATCACACACCTACTGAGCGACATATCAGACTGGATGTCGCTCCAGTTCCTTAAACTGAACCTCTCCAAAACCGAGTTTCTTGTCTTCCCCCAGCCCGGACACCACCCCCCCACTGACTTCTTCATCACATCCAACAACGCCACCATCAAACCCGCCCCGCAGGTCAGAGTACTGGGTGTCATTCTGGACTCCAACCTATCCCTTCCAGCCCAAGTCCAATCTTTAACAAACTCGTGCAGACTCCACCTCCGCAACATGCAGACTCCACCTCCGCAACATCACCAAAATCCGCACGTTCCTAACCCCAGAAACTACTAAACAGCTCATCCACCACTCCCTCATCATATCAACGACTCGACATACTGCAACTCCTCCTCACTGGCCTGCCTCGCCGCTGGCTATCCCCGCTTTCAGTCCATCCTGAATACGACTGCCAGACTCATTCACCTTTCCAATCCCTCCCACTGACCTCTACCCCCCCTCTGCCAATCCCTCCACTGACCTCTACCCCCCCTCTGCCAATCCCCTCCACTGGCTTCCGATTGCGCAACTGAATCAAATTCAAAATCCTAACTGACGTACAAAACCGTCCACCATACTGCCCCGGAAACTACATCACTGACCTAATATCCAAGTACCGCACGAACTGGCACCGTACTACTCCAAAAACTTTCCATGACCCGCGAAACGGGGTCCCGCTCCCCCTGCCCCAACCCATCAGATTATCACCTACTCTCTCATCCTTTAGGCGCACCCTGAAAAACCATCTCTTCAGGGAAGCCTACCCCACCCCCTGCTAACTTGCCAACCTCCTCCACTCTTCCTACCACTCCATCCCCCACAGCTATCCTCCTCCTGTGCCACCATCCCTTCCCCTCCTAGATTGTAAGCGCGAAAGAGCAGGGCCCTCGATCCCCTCATGTTTTGCATTGTATTGGTATTGTTTCTGTCACATGTTTCTGTCTCCCATTGTAATGTACAGCGCTGAGCGAACTATCGGCGCTTTATAAATACAGTATAATAATAATAATAGTCTCAGCCCCAAGTCACTGAGTGCAGTCTCAGGAGATGGGAGGCAGCGGTGTGGGATCTCTGCAACTTGTCTACAGTAAACCTTTAATCTTCCAGTGATTACTGAATAATACATGAGTCCCCTGAATCTTACAGTGTATATATATTGTTACATTACATACTCCTGACCCTGCACTTCCAATACCCTATGAGTACCTTACATACTTACCCCTGCCACTATATACTTTATATTTGTACATTACATACTCCTGACCCCTGCACTATAATACACTGTTGTACATTACATACTCCTGACCCCTGCACTAATACTCTATGTTGTACATTAAATTTACTCCTGACCCTAACTATATACTGTTGTACCATTACATACTTCCTGACCCTGCACTATATACTATGCAGTGTACATTACATCCTCCTGACCCCTGCACTATATACTCTATGTTGTACATTACATACTCCTGACCCCTGCACTATATACTCTATGTTGTACATTACATACTCCCTGACGCCCTGCACTATACGCCCTGACTCCTGTTGTAACATTACATAGTCCTGACCCCCGTGCACACATACTCTATGTTGTACATTACATACTCCTGACCAGCCTGCACTATATACTCTATGTTGTACATTATCTCCTGACCCCTGACTATATACTCTGTGTTGTACATGTGGACATACTCCTGAACCCACTGCTTATATACTCTATGTTGTACATTACATAGTCCTGACCCTGCACTATATGTTGTACATTACATACTCCTGGAACCCCTGACTTTTCTTGGTTGTTCTCCCCCCCTGCACTCATTACTCTGTTGTACATTACATAGTCCTGACTTTTGCTCCCCCCACTGCTTTCTTTTGTAAATACACCCATTTCCTCCCAGCTGGACATTTTATATCGGATGATGTGATTGGAGCATAGAGTTTACATGGTGATAATAATGTGATAACATCCTCCAACTTTGGACCCTTAAACAGAAAGTGATAATGAGGGAGGAGTCAATACCCCAATGATGGTGGTCTTCAGGATCAGTCCAGTCTTCATCTTGGTTGTTCTCCCCCATCCTCACTCTCTGACCTCTGGTGGGGCTCAGCCCCGCTGTTCTTCATGACTAAATCATGGACTAAATAAGGAAGTGCAGTACTTCTCTTGTGTTGGGGAAGATGGCGATGAGTGATAGAGGGGTGGGGACCCTCGTCCTATAATCCCCTCATCACTGTCCCTCTATAAAAGACAGTTCTGGTTTGTTTCCTCACTCTCTGACTAAGGTCCATGAATAAAGAAATGACCTGGTAGGAGATCAGAGGAGCCATTTCCTAGTTCCCTTGAGGGTGGAATTGTAAGCTCCTCAGAGACCAAGCTGCCTGATGTGGGCGGAGTCCTGGTTTGGGGGAACCAATCAGCTCCTGTCCTAGTAATCCTCTTTGTCTTTGTATTTTAGTCCATGGGCGGGAGATGAGGAAAACCTCCGAGGATTGTCTCACTTTGTCTCCAGACTGGAAAGTAGAAGATGAGGACATCACACAGATATAGTCCAGGAGAAAACCCGGCTCCCTCCAATGTCCATCCGGGTATCACCACCCCAGTGTAGATGGACCATCGGATTCCTCGTATCCTGAGGAACCTCAGACTGTGCGGGCCGTACTGGACCGGCCGCCTTCAACAGGGAAGAGCTTCTCCTGTACTGAGTGTGCGGGAAATGTTTCCGTTATAAATCACTCACACGGGGGAGAAGTCTTAATAGGCATCAAAAGATCTCACAGAGAACTCACACTGGGAGAAAAGCCGTATTCCTGTCCTGAGTGCGGGAAATGTTACCATTGTAAATCCAAACTTTAATTGTGCATAAAAAAGAACTCACACGGGGAGATGCCATATTCTTGTACTGTGTGCGGGAAGATGCTTTTCAGGTCAAGTGCACTCTTTACATACATCAAAGATCTCACACAGGGGAAGAAGTCAATATTCATGTCCTGAGGTGCGGAAATGTTTTTCACAGAAGTTCGATCTTTACATACATCAGAGAACTCACGGGGGAGAAGCCGTATTCCTGTCCTGAGTAGCAAGAAATGGGTTTTTTCACAGAAGTCCAGTCCTTCACAAACAACCAGAGATCTCACACAGGGACAGGAGAAGCCGTATTCTGTCCTGAAGTGCGGGAAATGTTTTTCAACTGAAGTCCAAATTTTACAGACATCAGAGAACTCACACGGGGAGAAGCCGTATTCCTGTGGCTGAGTGCGAGAAATGTTTATCAGAGAAGTCCGATCTTCACAAAACATCAGAGATCTCACACAGGGGGAGAAGCCGTATTCCTGTCCTGAGTGCGGGAAATGTTTTTCACAGAAGTCCCATATTTACCAGCCATCAGAGATGTCACTACGGGGTAGAAGCCCTTTATTCTTAGTCCTGAGTGCAAGAACTGTTTTTTTCAGACAAGTCCTGTCTTCTTAAATCGCTTTCTAGAGATCTCACACAGGGGAGAGCGCTTATTCCTGTTCTGAGTGTGGGAAATGTTTTTGTATCAACTAAATCAAAAACTTGAAACACATCAGAGATCTCACCATGGGGGAGAGGCCATATTCTTTGTCCTGAGTGTGGGAAATGTTTTTCACAGAGGGGTGGGCGGGTGGTGGGGGGGGGGGTGGGGGGGGGGGGGGGGGGGGTCCCCCCATTCTTTACACACATCAAAGATCTCACAGGAGGAGAAACGTGAATTCTGTCCTCTGAGTGTGGGAAATGTTTTTTCAGGACAATTCAACCTTTCCAGACATCAGCGATCTCACACAGGGGAGAGGCGTATTCTTGTCCTGAGGGTGAGGGTAATGTTTTTCACAGAAGGCCCATCTTTACAAACATCAGAGATCTCACATGAATGGGAAGAAGCTGTTATTCCCTGTCCCGAGTGCAGGACATGGTTTTTCAGATCAAGTCCTATCTTTCCAGACATCAGAAGAGCTCAACACGGGGGGAGAAGCCACTTTTCCTGTACTGGGGGGAGTGAGGGAAATGTTCCTCACTGCAAGTCCTGTCCTCCTGTACATCCCCCCCAGGGGTCCCACCACAACCCTGAGAAGCGTGTATTTAGTGCCTTGAGTGCGGGAAATGTCTTCTAGATGAATGTTGCTGGACATCCCAGCTCTCATGTGGGGAGAAGCACACCATTGATATTACACCTCAGATATAACTCCATGGCTGATCATTCATCATGGAAGGAAAACAGTTCCATAAGGAGATGAGAGGCCCCCAAAGACATGGAATGAAGTGGTGGGAACCGGTTGGCCAATTGATAGCAGAGAAGAATAAAAAATGGAGTCCTGCCCTGTGATATGGCTGTAGTACATTGTTTGTGTTTTTTTAGGATTTGTTATATTCTTTTTTTGTCTTGAGTGGGAGATATTCACAAACAACTTTATAGATCTATTAAATATAAAGTTTTAATAACCTGTAACCGGCATTCACCCGGCTGTGACATCCTTTTTGGCCACATTTTTATTTCATGTGATCATAGGCTCCAAATAGGGACCATCAGGTTCATATTCTGCTACTTTTACTGATGGAGGTATTTCAGGGAAAAATACTGCATTATGACCACTAGATGAGCGCTGACATATCAGAGGAATCCACTGTGTTTAAAATCACATCGGTCCAGAATCTGTAATGTCTGGATGGACACTTGTCTCTTCATTCCAATTAATGGCCTGTTAAGTGGAGCCCTTATGTTCCCTTCATCAGTGCATGGATTTCATCTCCATCACTGAGGTCATTCCTCATACACAAGTGAGTACACGAACACACTGGAAGGATAAGAAGGTCATCCCAAGCAGCAATAATAAACAACCATACATTCACAGCTGAAAATGTTGCATTCCGCCATTAGATGGCACAACGTTTTATAGGAATTAGATGTCAGTCTAGTGAACAAATGTAATATTTTACCCAAAAACATGAATACAAAGGAGGTTGTAGCTGATTACACTAGATGCCCAACACGACCCAGCCCCTACAATGGTTGTGATGATATGAAACCATGACAAACGTTGTCCATCAGAAATGCCCCTAGTGGGCGCAGTAAAAAGCCTTTCCAGGTCCCTCAAGTGTAGAGGTGAACCCTGATAAATAGATGGAGAATGATTGCTCCTCACTCCGGCATGCATGGCGTGATGTAAAAAATGTGGTGCCAATCCATGAATCTTGTATGTAGGCACAGGTGGAATGATTGCGTTCCGTATGTATGTGGAAACTCAATGATAAGGGGGCGGGGTTTTGGTGTTAGGTGTGCACCTTTCATTTTTTCACTGTAATGGACAAACATATAATAACCAATAGCCCCCAATAAAAAAGAATATCGCATTTTGGGGTGACGTTATCTCTTAATGAGACATCAATACCCTGATCTTACTATTGTGCCTTTAGGCATATTTCCGTGTGTTCAACATCTACTTTTTAATAGCGAGCGTCTACTTTTAGGACTGCAAAGGACATTTACTAAAAGAAAGCGTCAACAAATAGACGACAATATCAAAATTTTACTAAACATGAATCAGACTCAAAAAGGCAGGACTTGGTAAAGAGGCCCGTCGGACACCATATTGAAAAATCACTGCAGAGGACTTTCACATCGAAATTGCTTGCCCCAATTATCCAGACTTCACTTTAAACAATATCTTGGGACATTTCCGAAAAATGAAAAAATGTAATAAACAAATAGTTTTTTCAAAGACAGTCCGTGACAGGAATAACTAGACGCATTTTTCCAAATGGCAGATATAAATGCACATTGCAGAACACATTTTATAAGTCCTCTGTGTGCGCTTTCTTTTTAGGGACACTGCTCAATAGTAAATCTCAGTGTGGACATTCCTCTGACAGCCGGTCACTCGTCGCGTCTCCTGTGTGTGGAAATCCGCTGACAGCCGGCACTCGGCGCGTCTCCTGTTGTGGATCTCTGACAGCCGGCACTCGGTCAGCGTCTCCTGTGTTGTGGAGTCCTCTGACAGCACGGCACTCGTCACGACTCCTGTGGTTGGAGTCCTCAGAACAGCCGCACTCGGTACTCGTCTCCTGTGTGTGGAGTCCTCTGGCCAGCCGGCACTGCGGTCACGATCTCGCTGTTGTGTGGAGTCCTCTGACAGCCGGCACTCGGTCACACTCCCCTTTTGTGATGGAGTCCCTAACTGCCTGCACTCGGTCCACGTCTCCTATGTGTGGAGTTCCTCTGACAGCCGGCAACTCAGTCACATCTCCTGTGTGTGGAGTCCTCTGATCAGCCGCACACGGTGGCGTCTCCTGTGTGGGAGTCCTCTGACAGCCGGCACTCGTGGCGTCTCCTGTGTGTGGAGTCTCTGACAGCCCGCACACGGTCATGTCTCCTGTGTGTGGATTCCTCTGACAAGACGGCACTCGAATCGCGTCACCTGTGTGTGGATTCCTCTGACAGCCGGCACTCGGTCACGTCTCCTGTGTGTGGAGTCCTTCTGACAGCCGGCAACTGTGGTCGCGTCTCTCTGTGTGTGGAGTTCCTCTGACAGCCGGCACTCGGGGGCGTCCTCCTGAGTGTGGACTCCTCTGACAGCCGCACTCGGTCACGTCTCCTGTGTGTGGAGTCCTCTGACAGCTCCGGCACTCTGGTCATGTCTCCTGTGTGTGGAGTCCTCTGACAGCGGCAGCGCGGTACGTCTCCTGTGTGTGGGTCCCCTTGGGCAGCGGCCTCGGGGTCCCTGTGTTTTGGAGTCCTTGAAGCCGGCACTCCCGGGCACCCTTCCCGTGTTTGACAACCCGCACCATTTGTAGCCCGGTAATTTTTATGTATTCTAATTTGATTTCCTTGTTTTTAGTGTTTTTATTTTGGGTTTTTTTCCTTTTAATTAAATTTTGTAAAGATTTTACTTATTTTGAAGATCTTTATAAAATTTATTTTTTACAGCTGAATCTAAAAAATAAAAGTTTTTGCAATTAAAAAAAAAAAAAAAAAAGTTGGGGTCCCCCTTTTCCCTTCCCCTAAAAGCCCTTCCGGGGCTGTATGGAAATTTAAAGGGGGAAAAAAAAAAAAGGCGGTTTGGGGGCCCCCAAAATCCCTAAAAACCCCTTTTCCCGGGATGGGAAACCCGGCAGGTAAAGGAAAAAAGGGGGGTTTAGCGGTTGGTTTTCCCCACCCCCTTTAGCCACATGCCCCCCTACAGGGGGGGGGCTTTTGGGGCAGGGGCCCCCCCAAAAGCACCTTGTCCCCATGTTGTTTGGGACAAGGGGGCTTTTTCCCCCACAACCGGCCTGTGGGGGGGGGGCTTATCAGAATCGGAAACCCCCCTTTAAAAAAGGGGGCCCCCAGTTTTCCCGGGACCCCCACGTGAATGAGTATGGGTACATGGTCCCCCTAAATCATTCACCAAAAAAAAAAGGGGGGTGTAAAAAACCACGTACAGTGTCTTTGACAAAACCCTTTTAAACACAAGCCCAAGGGGGACTTATGGCCCCCCTTTTGGGCCCGGCAAAATTTCCCGCTTTTAGCACTGTCCCCTTTGAAATTTTTTATTTGGGGGTTTAGCCACCCTTTTCCCATATGACATTTTTATCTTTTTTTTTTGGACAGGCTTTAGTTTGGGGGGTATTTTTTCACCCCAGGGTTTTTTTTTTTTTTTAAAACAACCCAAAACCCCTGAAAATTTTTGGAAAAAAAAAAATTTTTTCTTTGTTTTTGTTATAGAAAATTTTTTAAATAAGTGATTTTTTCCTTTTATGGTGCCCTAATGAGGTGCAGTGATGGACACAGAAAAGGGGGTGCACTGATGAAAAAGATAGGTGGCAATGATGGGCATGATGGGAGGCATGGTAGGTGGCATGGGGTTTTGGGGTTTTTACGGCATCAGATGGGCCTGAAAAGAGCCCCTGATATATGGCATGTTAGGCGAAAAAACCCGGCCCCTGTTAGGCGGCACTGATAGGTGCATGAAAAAGTTGTGTATTATTTCTTTTTTTAAAATTTGCGGCTCAACCAAATTTTTAACCACCCAATAAAACGCTTTTTTAAAAGCGGGCAAATTTGGAAATGGCGACCCCTTTTGGTGTGATTTGCATGAAAAAGCGACTTGCAAATGGGTTTTCCAAGGGCCCCACCCCCCCAAATTTCCTGCTATTAGAAAACGGTCACATGGGTGCGTTTCCGGCCCCTGATTTTTTA